GGTGGGGCTGATGGAGAAAATGCTGCCGGTAACATCAGTGGTGACCCTGTGGTTTCTGTGCATGAACCTGGGCTAAATGTGGTCCCTCCACAGTTTCCCCCATCCACAGGGAAGAGATCTCAGGGCCCAATTCTCCCTCCTGGCCTCAGGGTCCTGGTTGGCCACGCACTCCCAGGAGATGACCAGAGCCCAGAAGTCCCAGAATGATGCTCCATGGAGCCCCGGAGACCTTCCTCCCTGAGGGGTCAGCATAGCTTTCACATGGGCAAGGGACAACCATCTCCAGGGACGTCCACTTCCTCGTTCCTACTGGGGGTTAGGAGTGTAGAAGTCTTACCCTTCAGCTCCCCCCACATGCACCCACCCACTCATTTCTTCCCCAGGCACCTGGATCCCCAGCTCCTCCACGAAGCCTAGTGTCCTTCACAAACATTCCCCATGCACACTCTCTAACTACAGTCTGACATCAGAATCTTCCCTAATTCCTCCCCTTCCCACAGCCTGGGGTTCTATGAACTGACCTTTCACTTCATCCATCCCTGAGGCCAGAGAAGGGACACCCTGGGGGAAAGCAGAGGCTGGAAGAGCAGGAACAGAAGGGGCCCCTTCCTGTCCCCTCCAGAGACTGCCTAGGCCGCTGCCTGTGTCTGGTGTGCACAGACTCCCAGGGAAACATACCGACACCACATGCACAGAAACACGCAGGTACAGGACACCCCCAGCCACAGCTGGGCACTCAGGTGCAGGGCTTATGGCCAGGCTCACACGGACACACACTGCAGACACAGGGAACACCTTGAGGGGAACACACACACACACAGGGAACACCTTGAGGGGAACACACACACACACACACACACACACACACTGGACACACACATAGAAACAATCGGTGTCATACACACAGTATCACAGGACACACACACACACACACACACACACACACGATGGACACACGCGCCCGCACACTAGAGCAGACATACAGGGACATAGAACACAGACATAAAGAGAACACAATACACACATCAGGAACACCCAAAGGGACAGCCAATTCACACATACAACCAACAGGCAACATGCAAAACAAATACTCCACCAAATGCTGAGTCATACTAACTCAGGGTCTTGAAGGAAACATGAAGATTTCAGGTGCTGCCCTGGCCAGGCGGCTCAATCTCTTGCAGCTTCATTTCATTCGCCCCCTTCAATCAAAGGGCATGTTCGGCTCCTCGTGAGGGCGCAGATCAGGTTGTGTGTTTGATCTGCTGCCCGGCATTTATGGAAGGCAACAGGTCTATGTTTCCTCTCACATGGATGTTCCTTTTTTTTCTCTGTGCCACTCCCTTCCTCTCTTTCTCAAAGCAATAAACATATCCTCAGATGAGGATTACAATTTTAAAAAACAATTAAGGGGCCCTAGCTGGTTTGGCTCAGTGGATAGAGCATCAGCCTGTGGACAGAAGGGTCCCAGGTTAGATTCTGGACAAGGCCACATGCCCAGGTTGTGGGCTCGATTCCCAGTAGGGGATGTGCAAGAGGCATCTGATAGATGTTTCTCTCTCATCGTGTATGTTTCTATCTCTCTCTCTCTCCCTCTCCCTTCCTCTCTCAAATCAATAAAAATATTTTTAAAAAAAAGAATTAAGGGATTTATCCCTAGTCTGTTTGGATCAGTGGATAGAGCGACGGCCTGGGGACTGAAGGGTCCTGGGTTCGATTCTAAGCAAGGGCACATGCCTGGGTTCAGGGTTTGATCCCCAAAAGGGGGCGTGCATGAGGCAGGCAATCAATGATTCTCTCTCATCATTGATGTTTCTATCTCTCTATCCGTCTCCCTTCTCTCTAAAATCAATGAAAAAATATTTTTTTAAAAATTTATAGTTTCATATTGCAAAGAATTCAGTTGAGTCATTGAGGATTGAGTGAAATAAATAAATATATCTGCAATAACCTATAGTTAAAATAATAATTTCATTTTAAAAATTGGCAAAAGATTCTGACCAGACATTGCAACAAAAGAGACAAACACAGTATAAATAATTGCTTAAAAAAACGTTCACCATAAAAATTTATTAGGGAAAATTTTTTTTTTAATTTATTAGGGAAATGGAATTAAAACAAAGCAAGTTAACACTATACTCATTTCTTGGCCTATTATTAAAAAGATTAAACATCACATGTGCTGGCAGGGTTATGGAAAAACTAGAATTTTCATTACTGTACGTGGGTGGAAAGCCAAAGGGAATGACCATTTTAGAACACAGTTCTGCATATAATAACAGGTAAAACATTCGCCTACACTGCATCACTTTGATAAGTAAAACATAACTCTATAGATAGAATTAAAGGCAATATTCCCAGCAGATTCATTTTTAATATCCCAAACCTGGAAATAACTAAAACCATAGACAGATCAATAATAGGTAAACTGGTTATTCACAGAACACAGTATGACTCAGCCATAAAAAATAATTAACTATTCACAGAAGCATTCGTGTCAAATCTCAAAATAACTGTGTAGCATGAAGGAAAGCAATATTTTTATACCCCTCATAGTGCTTATGAAATTATGAAAAATATGAAGTAATCTTAAAAAAATTAACTAGTCTTGTAAAGGAAGTAAAATCAATGACTGCATTTAGGGCTGAGGAAGGGAGAAGGAGAGATTACAAAAGGGCAGGAGGTAACTACAGGGTGTGGAGCAAGTAGGTGTAGAGCTGTTGTCATGGAAATTACTACAATAATTTAAAAATAAAAAACAAGGATAAACTCTTCCCTGGCCAGTGAGCGTCAGGTGTTTGAGTACCATCCGTTGCCCTAAAAGGTCACTGGTTCCATTCCAGTTCAAGGCACAGGCCTGCCTGGATGCCCCGTAGCTGACGTGCAGGAGGCAGCTGTTTGATGTTTCCTCCTAATATCACCATTTCTTCCTCTCTCTCTCTCTCTCTCTCTCTCTCTCTCTCTCTCTCTCTTTGTGCAAATTCAATAAAAATATTTATAAATATGTGAAATACTTATTTAAAAAAATAGAGAGTCAACTCTGTGTTTTGCATATTCATATCTATGCCTGCATTTGCCTTAACCTGAATATGGGTGAGAAATAGGTTTATGTCACATGTGACCATTTTAGAGCTTGATCCCTAGGTCCGAGCTCACCTAATTGTACGAATAGACCTAAATAAAACCTTAAAATGTGCTTCCAAATAAAGGTGTAGATATCCCCGTCTTCTTTGAAAATTAAAATGACAACCCTATATGGGCTCTGCCATCTCTCTCTTAATTTCCTGGGAGCACCAGCCTTGCCTCAGTGGCAGCAAATATTGGCAAGCAGGGAAGACTATGGCCACCAGAATCACAGGAATGCTGACTGGGTCACAAATCCCACATCCTGGGACTGACTACAGGATTAGCCTTCCTCTAGCTTTGAGGTCTTCCCTGTTGAGCAAACCTTGAGGTGAACACCGTAGAGAGGCCAGAAGACGAAACAGACCCTTTAGATTATATTCTCTAACAATGACTTTAGCCACAGGAAACAGTGATGGAGGAACTGAGGACGCCTGTCCACAATGACCACACAAGACACACGTCCTTAGTCCTTTGTGGGTAACGTTCAGAAGAGGCACGATTCACTTAATTCTCTGCACTCTTTCCCACTCACTATGAATACAGGATTTCTGGCCCAGTTGTAGTTCAACCTAACCCTCAGAGTCTCAATACAAGCGATACCAGCCTATGAAATGTCATTGATAACGGCACAGGGCACCTTGACAGCATGTAATACACACTGTGAACAGAGAATATAATTCACATTGTTCACAGAAGCACAACAAAGCCCTCTCACCCCCATCTTCAGGATGACCTCAGACCGTAATCATAGGAGGCACCAGGCTGCAAATGAGAACCACCAAGTCATGCCGGCTTTCTTTCGAGGTCTTGGGCAGCACTGCATTACAAGTGAATACTGGACAAAGTGATTTTTGATTCCAGGCTTTGCCTTCGGAAGCACAGCAGGTTGGGGATTCCCACAATATCTGTTCCCCTGGACATGCGGACAGATCCCAAGTGTGCTTTCAGATCAAGCCAGGCAATGAATAAGACCAACAAACTGAAAGGTACTAGTACATGAGCAAAAGCACCTGGACAAAAAGATCATAATCCCAAGACGTGTTAGAAAATTCAATGGGTTTGCAAGTTGGTGAACTGGAAAAGGAAACAATTCATCACAGCATAAGGTGATGTCAGGAGAGAGGTACCACTTAGCTGAGGATGGGTGCACTGGATGAACCCTCAATCAACTCCATTTCCTAGTCAGAAAGGAATGAAGATCCTGCCAGGAGCTTGGAGTAATCACAGTTTGCTCAGGCAGCGGTGAGAACACAGAATTCTTTTTCCCTGACCACGCAGGGGTTGTGACTGAGGCACCCTGTTCAGGTGAGCCAGGTGGTGGAGGTGAAATCGCCTCAGCCAGGAATACTCCCAGTGAGTTCAATCGGGTAGTAGGCCGGAGCAGCTTAGCAAGTGCCATGCAGTTATTCAAAGCATCACTTATATTTGAAATTTCATGAGGAATCTAGGGGAGTGCATGTTGTGATAAAAGGGGTTTATGTTCCGTTAAATGTGTATCAAAGAAACCCCTTCAATGTTGTTATTGTCAATGAGAAAAAGAAAGTATTCGGAGCACCTTTAAAGCTTTTCTCCATTGTGAACAATCAGGTGTCTAAGGAGGTGAGATTTTTGGATAAAAGATTTCCCACATTCACTACACTCATGAGGCTTTTCTCCTGTGTGAACTTTCTTGTGTATAAAAAGGTTACTACGGCATCTAAAAGATTTCCCACATTCATTGCATTCAAAAGGTTTTTCTCCAGTGTGAACTCTCTGGTGTTCGGTAAGGGTACACCTATGTCTAAAGGACTTCCCACATTCACTGCACTCATAAGGTTTTTCTCCAGTATGAATGCTCTGGTGTTCAGTGAGGGTATGGCTTTTGTCTGAAAGACTTTTCCACATTCACCACACTCATACGGTTTTTCTCCAGTGTGAACTCTTTGGTGTACCGTGAGGTTGGAGCTATGCCTGAAAGTCTTGCCACAATAGGTACACTCATACGGCTTTTCCCCAGTGTGAACTCTCTGGTGCTGATAAAGAACAGAGAAATGCCTGAATGACTTCCCACAGTCACTACACACATGGGGCTTTTCTCCAGTGTGAAGTCTGTGGTGTTGATTGAGATTAGTCTTATATCTGAAGGCCTTCCCACAGTCACTACACTCATATGGCTTTTCTCCAGTGTGAACTTTCCTATGTTGAGTGAGGCTAGAGATTCCTCTAAAAATTTTTCCAGATTTGTTCCATGCATAATTCACTTCTCCCTTGCAGACACTCTGTAGAACAACTTTCTGGTTGTGGCTGGCAGCATTTTCAAATGGACCCCACTGGTTATAACCTGTTGCACTGAGAAGTTTCTGGGAAATCTCACTGCCACTGTGTGGCTCTTCAGTGTCCAGAGGGGCCTGGGGCTGGAGAAGCTCTGAGATGGCTGTCAAGTCTTCCCCACCCTCCCTACTAGATGAAGGCAGCCCTGATAAGTAGAAGCTGCACCTGGTCACAAATGAGGCCCTGTCCACAGCTTCTTTCCAAAGCTTCCCTCCACTGGCTCCCCTCTGTTGCTGGCGAGGGTTTGCACTGAAACAGAAGTCTCTCACACGTGTGTCATTGAAGAAGGCTTTCTGTTCAAGGTATGCTGCCTGAGACTCAGTCAGGTGCAGAATGTCTTTGAACACAGAGAAACACCGCTTACACACATGGGTCCTCTGGGTTCCTGGCTCTGTCTTACACACCGTGACCTGTGACTGTCCTTGTACAGATACACTCTGCTCAGGAAAGGCCTCCTCATCATCTGTTTTATGGCAACAACCTGAAAACAGAGAAATGAGGAGGAAATGGATGTTTACTACAGTGATGAGGGAAGTTCCATTACAAAAATATGTTGCAGATCATACATGCGTTCCATGCAATTGTCTGAAAATAACCGATTAGCTGGCAGGATTTGTTAAAGGCTCCAGTGAAGTTCTGGAATTCTGAATATTCAAAACTAGGAAAGCCTCACCACAAATATGACACAAAGATGGCAAGCACCACATGCATGGAAACAGGATCATCAGTTCCTTCTTCTGCTAACATTGTTCAGCAGGGCTTGTGTGCTGGTGACATGGGCAAGCTGTGCAGAAGGTTGCTTATGTCTTATTCCAAGTAAAATTCAGTAGCAGGGGTTCGAGGACTACTTAAGCATATATGTACACCTCATAACACATGTGCAGGTCCATGTAGGAGAATACTGCACAGAGAGCAGTGCAGAGGGACAGAGGATGCAAAAAGGTGACAAACATGAAGTTAAACAAAAGCCATGAAGTAACAGATGAAATGATCTGTCATCAAAATGTCAATAACGGTAAATAAAATGTGGAAATAAGGTGGTGACAAACACACTTGCACCTAAATATAGTTGGACACAAGCAGGTTCCTGGTGTGATCTGGAAAAAGCCCTCATGTGACACCTTCCCCCAGTTTCCACTCAGTAGGATCAGGCCTCATCAGAGACCATCTTCCCAGTTCACCCTGAGAGAGAACACAGGGTTCTCCATGCACCTTCTACTCTATCAATACATACAACCTAAATATTCAGAGTATTAATGAAATACAAGGGAGTGAGCAGCCAGCACTAACCCAGAGGAATTCGGATTGCAATAGTTTTCAGGGAAGGAAATATTACAAACAACAATTGAGGTAGGATGTTACAAGTACAGCCACGGTTCATGTAAGTAAAGACGATAACCTGGCCCAGGCTGTCACAAAGAGCCTTACCTGGATGAATGGTGTAGAAGTGGAAGACATGAGGACATAGAGAAAGTTCAAAGTGGGTCCCATTAAGCTCATTGCAGGACTCCTTACTGCCAGACACTTCTTGCATTTTCAGATGCAGCGGGTGCAAGGGATGCTCGGTGAGTCCAGAGGTCAGGACTCCCCACACAGCTCCCTCCTGGCAGCCAAAGCTCATTTGAAAGGACAGTGGGGGAAATTATTAGGGCCCATGGTGTGGCGGTGAGAGCTACGTTTGAAGAATAAAGGAAGAGTAGACATCACCTCAGGACATTGGGAGAAACGTGAAGGTCTTACCTGCAGATGAGACAAGTTCAAACACTTCCAGCATCACATTGCAGTAGAGAAGTCTCTGAGCCTCATCAAGGAGCCCCCACTCCTCCTCAGAGAAGACAATGGCCACGTCTTCAAAGTTCATATTCTGTCAAAATGGGGACAGATCAATCCACGATTAGCTTTTCTCCTAGGATTTCAAGTTCTTCATAATTCCCACCCTCCATATCAGTATGCTCCCTCTTCCCTTCATCGGACAAGACACCAGGCCTTGGGCCCGTCAAAGTCACTCTCTCCTTATATTCCTACCAATGCTGTGTCTTCCCACAACAATAAAGGCAGATGAGCAGAGAGCAGGTACCTGAGCTCTGGGCCTTACTTGTAGGCCACACTGCCTCGTGTCAATACAGAGGGTGTCACCCACATAGGGAAGAGAGAGATGTTGGCCATAAAGAAAATGTGAATGATTTATCACTTATTTTGTCAGGCAATACTCTTCTTATCGCCTAAATCTCCCTCAGAGACATGAAAAAACATGGCCTTGTGCTTCACCCTTCTGACTCTGGTACCATGGTGTTGAGGCCATCA